TACAATGGCACTTGGACGTGTGGGTGGGATATATTAGGGTGCAAGTGATCATTTTGTCCCTGAAGTTGATGTGCTGGATACAGAAAAAAAAAAAAAAAAGGACAAGTGTGCGGATTTGAGTGGCTTTGACGAGGGCCAAATTGTGATGGCTAGACCCCTGGGTCGGAGCAACTCCAAAACTGCATCTCTTGTGGGATGTTCCCGGTCTGCAGTGGTCAGGACCTACTAAAAGCCGGTGAACCAGTGACAAGGTCATGAGTGGCCGAGGCTCACTAATGCACATGGGGAGTGAAGGCAGCCGTGTAGTCGATCCAACAGAAAAGCTACTGTAGCTCACAATGCTGAAAAAGTAAACGCTAGTGGAAGGAAAGGTGTCTGAATACACAGAGCATCGCAGTTTGTTGTGAATGGGGCTGTGTTGCCGTAGACTGATCAAGATAACCATGCTGACTGGAGTCCATCACCAAAAGTGTCTACAATGGACACGTGAGCATCAGAACTGGATCACGGAGCAATGGAAGAAGGTGGCCCAGTCTGATGAATTATGTTTTCTTTAATATCATGCGGATGGCCGTGTGTGTGTGTCTCTTACCTGGGGAAGAGATGGCACCAGGATTTACTAGGGGGAAGAAGACAAGAAAGCAGAGGCAGTGTGATGCTTTGGGCAATGTTCTGCTGGGAAACCTCGGGCCCTGCCATTCATGTGGGTGTTATGTTGACACAAACACCGACCTAAACATTGTTGCTGAGCAAGTACACCCCTTCATGGAGATGGTACTCCTGATGGCAGGGGCCTCTTTCTGCAGCATAATGCGTCCTGCCACACCGCAAAAATGGTTCAGGAATGGTTTGAGGAACAACGAGTTCGAAGTTTTGACTTGTTATTCAATCTGGCCAGATCTCAATCCCATTGATCATCTGAGGGATGTGCTGGAAAAACAAGTCCGATCCATGGCGGCCGATCATCTCACCACTTACAGGACTTAAAGGATCTGCTACTGACGGCTTGGTGCCAGATACCACAGCACACCTTCAGAGGTCTGGTGGAGTCCATGCATTGACGACTCAGGGCTGTTTTGCCTGATCAGTGTAAACTAATATATTTACTAAAGGAAATTTTTGGCAAAATATATTTCCTAGTCTATCCAAAATGAAAAAACACAAAAAAAAAACCAAAACACAAAAAAAAAAAAAAAAAAAGGTTTTTGATTTAGATACATATCAATATAATAAAGTAAGAAAATGAAACCCCCACCCACCACAAAACATTCCTTTGCGATATACGTGTTAGGAGAAATGTGAATGATTCATACCCAGATATCTGTCCTCTCGTCAATTACACAGTTGCTGTCCACATTGAAAAGTTCGGGGGCCCGGTAGGAGATGGTACATCGTTGTGCTGCCCAGTCCTACAAGAGAACACTGATAAATATACCGAGGCTGTAATCTGCCCCCACTGTCCACTAGGAGCAGGAAAGACTACCGATTCCATGGAATTCTCCGTCGCTGGATTTGAAATTCGGTGTACATTTTGGTTTGTATATCAAAAGATCTGCATAGACGCCAGTGATATATTTCTTTAAAGTAAACCTGTCATTAGAGAAACATGGGTACTACCACTGCTGACTAAGGGTGCACCGATAACGATAGAGTACTCGCCCAAATGTTCCCTATGTCTATCCCGATACCGGAACTTCTGGTATCAGGAAGCCAGGCTGCGAGTCATTACACGCTGCTCGGCTTCCTGATTGGCTGGGAAGCCGGCTCCATGCTCCCTCGTCACCAGGGAGCATGGAGCCAGCTTCCTGGCCAATCAGAAAACCGGGGCAGCGTGTCATTACCTGCCTCCCAGTTTCCCGATTGGCCGGAAAGCCGGCTCCATGCTTCCTTGTCACCTGGTGACATAGGAGCATGGAGACGGCTTCCTGGCTAATGGGGAAGCCGGGCATCGAGTCATTATACGCCGCCCCCAGCTTTCCAGCTAATCAGGAAGCCGGGTGGTGAGTCATTTCACACCGCCTGGTTTCCTTAAAATGGGACTTTTGGTATCGGTGAGTACGGGGGGGAAAAAAAAATAAAAAAATTGGTACTCAATACCGAAAAAACAGTATCAGTTCATCCCTACTGCGGGCCTTTACTTCTGAAAATACTAGCCTTCTGCCAACATGCTGCAGAGAATGACCCGTGCCGTGACTGGGTCTGAACTTTTATCCGTACCTGCACGGACATTGCCTGCCTGGTCCCCAATACTTCAATACGAGCGTGATTCATAGAGCCCAGATCCATCAACAGGGGCTGATCATCGTCATCCAGCAGCACGTTAGTCGGCTTCAAGTCCCTTAAAAATAAGACAGACTTGATTGTGAGAAACGAGAGCCTCTGCAAAATCAATAATTGACTTGAAACCGCAAAAGATTTTAGTTTTTTTTTTAAGACATGTCAAATGAATAGACAAAAATACAATTTCACACATTTAAATGTTTATAGGAAATACCTCTACAGCCCCATTTTCTCACTGCCCCCTCAATGCCGAATCCATTGTGGGTTTACCCTGCATGACAGCTGGGTAATGGCCAATATCTACCAACCCGGTGACCACACTGCCAGATGGTGCAAAGGTGACCCTTCTACATAAAGACAATTCTCAGACTGAAGTTAGGGATGGCTGCTTAGGGACGCTGCTGAAGAATGCTGCTCAATGTAGTTGTACAGGATAAAAGCAGATCTATTGCTCTTTAAAAATACTGTATAACCAGTTCTATATTTTTTTGCATTTCTTTCTCTGTGTAAACATTACTTTATTTACATTCAGCCTGTTTGAGTCTGCAACACTGTTGTGGACAAGGACCAAGATATAATGTGACACAACAGCTTGATTCAACCTCTTCAGTGCCAGCAGTCATTAATGGTGATTCCTGGGCTTCAATGTATATAATCACCAGAGATCACTATGCTAAAATCTGGCAGCTCAAATATAATGTTAGCTACTGTACAGAAAGCACTGGACTCCAGACCAGGACTGAGAACTAATAAGTATTTTGTTTACTCAACTGCATCATTGACATTTTGTGATTACATGACTGCAATGCAGCCATTTAAAGAGACAGGTAGGCAAACCAGATGCCTTTCATGTTCTCAGTCCTTGTCTGCAGTTACACCGCAGTAGCAAATAATGCAATGTTTATACTGAGCCTGTGCTGACAGCTTTTGAAGTACAGGGAAAATAAAAGGCAGAGGCAAGGGATTATATGTGAAGCATTCCTTGGTATTCCCGGACCTATTAAACAAGTGTTTTAAAAAGACAGTTATCCTTTAATGTGGACAATCTATTGCAGAGAAATTACATAGACTACCTGCAGATGATCCTGTAGATCCATTTTAATTTAAAAAAAAAGGTTTCATTCCAAGCTTCAGTAAGCTGCAGCACTGTATACCACTACAGATTATATCCTGGTTTAGTACTAGGAATATATAGAGCAGCCATTCTTAACCAGGGTTCTGTGGAACCCTAGGGTATCCCTCCAGAGGTTGCTAGGGGTTCCTTGTGCTTACCAAACTCCCATTTAATGGTGCCCTGCATGTTTCTGGGGTCAACACCACCTGGCAGAGCCAGCTCCATGACACCAATCATCTTTTTAGCCAACTGTAAGGGTGGCATTCTGACCACAGTTGTAAAGAGGGTGTTTTTTTTCCTGGCCACCCATACATTGTGCATGGGTTGCTCAAGACCTGAAACGCATTTTAAGGGTTCCTCTGGGGCAAAAAAATTGAGAATGACTGACAGAGTAAAGAGTCATTTCCCCAAGTGTTTGTCCCATATGCTCCAGCAACACAGATGTAAGAAATTTCCACAATACACCCCAGGCTCATACCTGTGAGCAAAGCCCTGATCGTGGATGGCTTTGAGTCCCAGGCATATCCCATGTAAAATGTACAGAATCTTCTCTTCGAGTAGGTAAGCGTTCTTATCTCGCAATGCTTCAACTTTATTCCATAAGGTTCCTCTCTGAAAATACAGCATAAAAAGGACATTGCAGTTTCTATTCAGGGTCAGCATACTCGTCGATCAATTACAGCACAGCAATTGGATTCTCACAATGCAGGGACTACATTACCACAGCCCAAATATAAGCCAAATACTTTAACCTTTCTTAAAGTAGAACTGCAGGAAATCGTATGCTAAACAAACTGATAACTATAAAAATATAATATATTTGCTCCTTAAGGGCTTGTTCACACTATATCCAGTGCATTCCAGCACGGTTCCCTGCATTCTGGGGCAGGAGGGGGCATGGCGGTGTTATTGTCAATGAAACTCCAGAAATGCCTCAGGCCTGCAGTGCGATCTTAATCAGAACACATGGCACAGCAATGCCCGTGGTGCGATCGCAAAACATAATGCATGCATTAGGTTTCTTTCACCACACCGCATGGAAATCCTCGCTATTGTAGTACTGTGTCTTTAGTGCAACCCTACTTCGTGACCCGGCCCTTAGATCTTTATTACCCAGACATATTGTTAAAACCCACTTTGTAACACAATCCCAATCAAATTCTAAATAACTAGGATACCAAGATACCACATTAGGTTATATATGTTCCAAGGTTATACATGTTCCAAGTGCAACTCCCAACAACGGTGACAATTCAATATATGTAAATAGAAGTATATCCTAATAAAAGACTAAAACTCACAACAGGTATCCGATGTGTACACTTTATAATAGTGATATCAAGGAAAGATGTAAATCCAAATGGGTCTCATGTAACTTAATAGGGGTCTGCCCAGAAGATCCCAGGTTAGTAGTACGTCCTGCCATAATCAACTTTCGCGCTATCGTGAGATCAACAATTTCGCTTTGATGTAGCCGGTGAAACCCGTCAGGTACTGATACGAGCATCTGGCTTGCCCTGTATACCCGTTAAAGGACATACTGTTCTTTATCATGGACGTGGAGATTTTTGAACGAGAGGGGCATCAGTGAGTACAACGTGGGAAACAAAGATCTGAACTAGGACACAGCTCTATGGTGGTTTCTGTACATTTAATACATTGAATAGGATACATTTTTATAATCCATTGCAGTCTTTCATACAGGTCTTTATTGCTTGTACTGTGTCACATATCACAATGCACTGAAAGCGCCACTCTACTGGACACTGGGACACCCACATTGCATTGTTGCATGAGCTCTGACTGGCATCCAAAGGCCAAAATAATGAACAGAGAGAGCTCATTTAGACATTTAGCTGTCACGTTATGGTACCTGCAGAGACCTTTCAGTGCCTGTTCAAGAGGTAAGTTAGCTCTACAGTCTTAGATCTGTGCCAAGGTGACTTTAAAACACTTGCCTGCTCTGGTATCGCTCACATTAAATTAAGTGTGTACATCTGGCAACTGTACATTTGTTTTTTCCCTCTTCTTTTTTGTGACAGCCGAGATAGTGAAGCGTTTTCTCTCCCTGGTATTTATGTTCTGCAGGACTGTAGTGTTCCTTGACATTGCAGAAGGGATGCCAAGTGTTCACTTCATGTGGTTCCAGACCGCTGCCAATGTACACAACGCTACACAAACATACGACAATGCCACACCTCACAGACACACTGTGGGAAATATGTGCCTCATTCATCTCATTAATAACAATATCACTTCAAATGGAACCGAATTGACTTTTGTAAAAACACAGAATAGTGTCTCACCTGCGGCAACCCAACAAAGATCTTTTATTAACTCCTCTGAATTGACAGAAGACTGGTTACTGTGGGTTATGTTACATTATTGCTATTGGACGGCTGTAGTCTACACGTATAGGGGTTACTTTACACCTTTTCTTCCACTGTCACCCAATAAAAAAGTGGTCTGAAGATGCTTGTGTATAAAACTCCTGCTGATTAAACTCAAATAGGACTTACTGTTAAACCATATCAAAACTATTTTGTACTAGAAAACCTGGAACTGGACTGGCTGCTATGAGCAACATAGAAACTCAGCTTTCATGAAATTCTGTATTGCATTAGGCCTAATTTAGATGGGAGAGAAGAGCAGGTCTTGTGATCAATGGCTACCAAATCATATTTTCTTTTTAGTCTTCCATACTGCACTGGGGTATGATGTAGAGCAGGGGCGCCACAATTTTTCGTCTGGAGATCTACTTTCCAAATGATGAGCTCAATGAGATCTACTAACATAAAAAAAAACACCTGCATTAAAGTCAATGGCACCGCAGCCCCGCCCACCGTGCGATCACCTGCAATGGGAACGCAGGCACGTTAGTGCCTGCGTTCCGGTCCAGTGCGATCTGCAAAAATGCAGCAAGCACTATTTTGCAGATCGCACTGGATCGGAACACAGGCACTAATGTGCCTGCGTTCCGTGTGCGGGCGATCGCATTGCGGGTGGGGGGGCGTGGCTGCGGTGCCATTGACTTCAATGCAACCTCCCGCCCCTGAACACAGGCAGCTGTCTGGCTTGTGTTCCAGTGCGTTCTAGAAGCCGAACACTCTGGAACACAGACTTTCTGGTGTGAATCGGCCCTCTCTCTTGGCTGTCTCTTCTCTCTCTCACTTTCTCTGCTGTCTCTCACCTGTCTGTCTCTTCTTACCTCCACTGCAGCAGCTTCCCAGGTCTCCTCTCGTGCGCCAGCGTCCTGTCCTCCCGCGGCGCTGGTGTGGCCGACGTTGCACACGGGGAGAGGTGTCCCTTCCCGCCTGTAGTGTCTGACACATTCAGCCGGCAGCCGCACGAGCACCACGGGAGGACAGGACACAGGTCAGTGAGCCGATCACGATCTACCAGCGTTCGCTTTGCGATCGACTGGTAGATCGAGATCGACCTAATGGGCACCCCTGATGTAGAGTAACTTAGCCACTCTCAAACAGGGTTCCTCCAAAGGTTGCTAAGGGTTCATTGAGCTATGGCTGACTGACCTCTCATTTGATGGTGCCAGAAAAGTTTCAGGGTCATCACAACTTGGGAGAGCTAGCTGAATGTACCCAATGATCTTTTTTAGCTGTCTGTAAGGGTGGTATCCTCCCCACCAATGTAAGGGTGCATTCTTCCCATTAGCCACCAATGTATGGGGCATTTTTTCCCCACTGACCACCAATGAATTGGTTTTAGCAGGGGTTTCCCCAAGACCTGAAAATGTTTTCAAGGCTTCCTCTGGGGTAAAAAAGGTTGGGAAAGGCTGCAGCAACTAACTGGTTGCAGTGGTATTGGAGAACAATTTTACAGAGCTGAATAAACTGAGCCTAGGGAAGGCCTCTTTTCCCAATTTCCAGACAGAGTGGCCAAAGTTGTGCCATTACCTTGATAAAAGGAAGCAGCAGCCAGGCTTCCCACTTAGGTCCCTTTTCGATCATGCTGTGCCCCACCAGACCCAGGATATTGGGATGATTGAACATTCGGTGCATCTCCACCTCATGAAGCGCCTCCTTACGATCCTCCCGGTCATGGCAAAGTATACGTTTTAGGGCATAAAATTGCCCATCTTGGACCCCTTCAACCAGATCTACATAACTGAAACCTCTGTTAAGAAAGAAAATCCAGGAAAATACAAATAAAAAACTTTCAGTTTATATTAAAACGGACTGAGTAGAAAAGCCTGTCTCCTGTCAGCATGCTGTAAAGTGGGACCCTAGCTCTCTGTGGGGAAGCAGTGGTCTCTCTGTAGAGGTTCAACACCCCTACTGCTGAGTTAGAGCTAGCGCTCTCTAAATCAACAGGGAGCATGAGCAGGTAGAGAGATCACTGCTCGCACACAGAGCAAAATATTTACTGGGAGACATTAATACCGATCGTTTTGATGTACCTGAAATGCATTTGGATAATTTAATCTAAAGTTTCTATTGGGCTTTAATATGAAGAGCACAAAAATCAGTTAAAACCCAACTCCAGGTACAGATAAAAAAAAAAAAAAAAAAACACAATATAAAGCAGTAGTGCATTCAATTTTTTAAAAAATTGTATGCGAAACTCAATTTACATACAGCTAGCACCTGCATCTGTCTTGATGCCAGTCTCTGGCATTCTAGCACAGCAGAACCTAAATTGGGTAACGGAATAGCACAGCTTGGAGCCAAACATGGCTCTGCTGTATGCAAATGCAGTGATAGGGAACAAGCTACATCACTGTCCAATCCAAAGACTAAGCTCACTTTGGAAAGGAAATTGCCTATGCAGTCAAGGGGCCCCAGTAGATTTAGGAAAAAACAAACAAAAACACACTTTGAAGTTAAAAAAAAAACCCTTTGAAATTAAAAAAAAAAAAAAAAAAGTTGATTGAAGTATCTGCCAAACCCATAGGCCATTGACATCACCCCTCCAGCTCAGTGATGCCATGGTGGAGGAAGAGAGATCGCACAGCACACGAGCAGGGTTTTGAATGAGGAGAGTACTTGTTACTGTGATGGTGTGGGCGAGCATCCAACAGTTGAATCTCGGTGAGCTTTGTGTATTTCTTCCAGATCTGTGCAGTTATCCAGTGTGACACTTAGAACTCCTTGTAATGCAGACCGCTCACTGCTGCTCTCATCTCATCTCTCCTGTAGTTTTCTGCAAACAACCTGTAGTGCAGCGGTGGGCAAACTTTGGCCCTCCAGCTGTGGGGAAACTACAAATCCTATGCTGCATCTGCCTCTCGGAGTCATGTCTGTGGCTGTGAGTATCTTGCAATGCCTCATGGGGTTTGTACTTCCACATCAGCTGGAGGGCCGGAGTTTGTCCACCCCTGCTGTAGTGGTTGGGGCCTTCTGGGTCCGTGATGTAGTGGTTCTTATTGGGGCAGGTTTCTAGGAAAACGGCCTAGGTAAGGCAATGATATCAAATCAACATGTATGAAAGCAGCACTGTTTTTGTTTACCAACCGGTAAACCCAGAAGGCATGGTCTGCTTTATCCTGGACCACAAAGGCAATTTTCTTTCAAAAGGTAAACTTAGCTTTTAAGTCTAAGCAAGAAAGTGGTGCCACCCCTGTCTGCGCTGGCCGGCAAACATGTATAAAATTACAGAAATAGAGTGCCTAACCTAACTGGCAAAGGTGAATGTACCACAATAATGACTGGCCAAAAATACAAAATCCTATGACAACTACAATAAAACAAATCTGTATTCGAGTGTGATATGTTGAAGTAGCAAATTGCTGCTAAAAACAACTTTATTGCTCCAGCACTACTGAGAACACCCCACCCAGCTCCTACTCTTAACAAATTCCCCCCCCCATGAGTTGGGGGAGCATGAATGAGAAACAACAGCTGCGCAGAGTGTTCTCTATAGTGCTGGAACAATAAAGTTGTTTTTAGCAGCGATTTGCTACTACAATATATCACACTCGAATACCTTGCCTTGCTTAAAGGAGAACTATGAGGCGAGTGCTTTTCACTCACCTCATAGTTCTAGCCGACCTGTGACAATGAGACTGTCACAGGTCGGCTCAGTAGATCGGGAGGTGAGCGAACAAATACCGGCGTTCGCTCACCTCTCGATCCTGTCACGGCTCTCTGCCGTGACAGGGGAGGGGCTGGATTCCCCCCTCCCCGATCCGCCAGTGCTGACTGGCGGAACGGACGGGGGAGGGGCGGGTACAGCTGGCTCTGCCTCTAGATAGGCAGAGCCAGCTGTCAGTCACGCAGCTGGGCGGATCCCGGCACAATTGTCGGGATCCGCTTCAGCGTCTGCTCGCGGTATACTGAGCCTAGGGTGACGGGATGACGCTAGTTTGTGTCCTCCCGTTACCCTAAGGAGAACTATGGGGAAAAGCCTTAACCCCATAGTTCTCCTTTAACAAAGCAGCAGATTCACTGTAATGGTAGCAGTACATACTGCACATTGACTTCATTGCTGCTCCTCTCAGTTGCTGGGAGTAAAGCATGTGACTCGCTCACCTTCTCACATAACGGGGCTAGTCTGGCACCCAGCATTGCCCCATAAGGGCGAGGAAAGTACCCCAAGACCTGCGTAAGCTCTAAGCTGTGACCTGCAGCTTGCATTGTGCTTCCCTTCTTTGCACTTGGTGGGTGAATGGTGTGGCAGAGGAGTGAAGGAAAGATAAGTAGAAATAGTTGGTAAAGCCACCACTAAAGTGGACCCGTTTTCAGAAGCCGATTAATCGATTATTGAAAAAGTTGACAACTTTTTCAATAATCGATTATAATCGATTATGTCGATTAGTTGTTGCAGCCCTAGACCCGTTTCTTTACCCTACATTGGAAAAACACAGGTTGGTTTCAAACTTTGCTTATATTAGCTGATTTGTGTATGAGTTGTCACAACAGCCCATCACTGTGCCATGCTTTCTTGAGCTACAGGGTTTACGTTGCCAACCATCTGCTGTAGGCACAAAAATGTATTCATATATATTCCTTTGTGTACCAAAATGCCTTTATAAACTCGGTTATTATCTTGTAAGAGTAGCAGTGACATAATTAGGGGGCGGAGACAAGACCAGTCACCCTGCACAAGGAGGGAGAGCAAGCAGTGAGCGGTCTTTATTACAGGAAGCTCCAAGTCTCACACTGGATTACTGCACGGATCTGGAAGAAATACACAAAGCTCACCAAGATTCCAGGAAGAATACACACAACTCTTCTATGAGGACAATATTTACTTATCCCGGAGTTCAGCTGGAATGTTACTTACCCCTCTCCAAGCTTCTCTACAAAGTAGTAACGCCTGTTTTCAATGGTTATGACCCCTCGAGAGCAGATACAGAGAGTAGCTCCCATTGCTGCGCGCACATTCTTTGCTCACTAAAATGAGGGGGGGAAAAAAGGATTATATGTGGGAGGAATTCTTAATCACTTTGGAGGGGAAAAAAAAGGAGAGACAAATTGATTAAAAATAAAATATTGTTTTCGGAAACGTTCTGGAGGGGTGAAAGTATTTTGGTTGTTTTTTTCTTAGCTTTGGATATAGCCGTGTATAGTTAGGCCTTCGCTTGGAAGATTAAAAAGGAGAGCTATGGGGTCAGGGCTTTTCCCCATAGTTGTCCTTAGGGTAACGGAAGGACACAAACTAGCGTCCTCCCGTCACCCAAAGCTCAGTATAGCGGGAGCTACAGCTCGCGGTATACTGAGACGCCGCAGCCGGAGCGGATCCCGACGTAG